TTGGCAGAAAACCGAAGGCCATGGAGACGCGCAGCTGTAGCCCTATGTTCCTCTAGGAATTAAAGGATATAATAATAATATGATCACACCACTGTGATTCTTAATGGTAAAACACTTAACACTAAAACTAATAGCTTTGCAGCAGGCACTTACCTATTCAAAAGACCTTAATCGTAATCTGAGATTGCTAAGCATTGAATGATCAGATCATCTACGCTGTTTACATCACCATCTGGCAATCAATATGGATGAAATCACCAAAATTCATTACTGAATACCACATCTGAAAATTACAGAAGAGGCCGTAAGTATGTTCCTCTGTTAATTGTCAAAAATGAGGAAACTAGGTTAGTACACTGGAATTTGAACTTCACTGAAGTTAATACCTGGTAAATAAGTTGGATAACCGGAGATTATGCGGAGAAGACCGCGCATAGAAGGGAATAAAAGCTTTTGAGCTAGTTGAAGTTGATGACAGACAACTGAGTTTTGATGAATATGTTTCTCTGATACCTTATATTTAACTCATAACTCAAGGGATGAATACTGCGGATAATGACATCTCGTAAATGTCCAATGGCTATTTTTGTTTAAACTCACTGAGATGAACAAAATGCGATACCCAACAAGACTACAGAGATTTTGAATCTGGAATAAACAAAGGACGAACAAATGTAGATGTGGAGATATTTCTAAGCGAAATAATAATAATAATCTGCTTTATTCCAAAAACAGTACTTGTAATACAGAATGGAATTCTCAACATTTTTCACAACACCTTGCATCTGATTTACTCAAAATATAAATAAAATTAAAAATTAAAACAAAAGTAACCACAGGAATTTGTCCACATTTACGATATAAAGTCAAAAATATACGAAGCACGAACTGAGAGTATTGAGTATAATAATAACAATAATAACAGTGAGTTTGTTCCAAACAGTATTGTCGATTCCGTTTGGAAAGTTTAGCATGTTATAGATTATTGAATCGAATGTTCTGTTGATATCGTATAGTGAGGGGAAAGACAAAATCAACAGTTATAACACAACTTAAATGATGTTCACACTTATGAAAAAAATAAACAAATAAAAACAAAAAATTGAGAGGATTGTAAATATGAAAAGTGCAGTAACAATAAAGTTTGATGTTGTAAGGGTGGACGAAATGGTTTATTTAGTAGTGCAAAGAAGATTAGTTAGTTATTTCGTTCCTGACACTGTTTTCACCACATAAAGTATGTGCCACCAAATATGGTGTAGTGGAATTGTTATACTTAGACGTACGTGCATAACGTCTTCTGAAAAGACTTCTTGTTTTACCTGAGGTGACACAAGGTTGGAGCTGCGGTTAGAGTGGGTGCTCACAGTCTGACAAAATTCTTTTAGCAAATCTGTTGCATGACATCAAGTGCCTATCAGTGACCATGTCAACGATATGGCCCAGTGGGATACCACTCGTCCTACTGACTGACAGTCTTCAGAGTTCTACGAAGTATGACATAGTTTTTTTAAGTGACTCAAGAAAGATTAAGTAAGGGTGAACAGTAAAAAAGAATAGGTAAAATACACGAGTTGACAAACTGTAAAAGGAGGGATTGGTTGAGTTATGCCTGAGTGTTTTCACTTCTTAATGTAAAAAGTCAGACGAAATATTCTTTTAGAAATCGCTAAGACGTATGGGAAGACCAGGATAGGTTCGAAGAAAGAATTGATCCAAGATGCTTAACTTCAGACTTGATTTCTATATCACTATCATCATCATCATCAATTTTGCAACGATCATAGAAACCAACAGCTTCATCATTTAACTTTCTTTCACTTCGGAAACTGAAATTAACAGTCTAACATTTAGAAGGATTTAATTTAAGACACACCATTAGACGAAGACAATTTGCTGACGACTTCTGATAGAAAGCTGTTCATCTTAATATAGCCAAGCTGGGAGTTAACAGACACATTGAAATAGTTAGATCATCGGCATAAAAACCCTTACTGTAGTGATACTTTTCATAAACCATAGATAGACAAACAATAACTCACTGTAAAGAATCAATACAATTTAAATAAGCTCATTTTACAATCTAAACATAGTTTTTTTCAAATTAAGAAGGCAGATAATAAGAAACTTTAATGTTCTTCAAAATTAGTAACTTCTAATTATATAAATCTGTGACACTTTTTATTCACTAACTGTTTAGTCTACTTGTCTATGGATTGAAAGTAAGGCGTATTTCTCCAATTTTAGCCTGTTAACAGGGAATGTATATTGTGATTAAGCTTTTTCGTCAGTCAATGTTGGACAGAATAAACCGTATGCACAAATTTTGAAGCCATTTATGTCTTTTTGGGTACTTATTTTCTAACTTAATGAAAGCTTATCCCCTTCTTGTAATGCCTTAAAGAAGTCGCAGACAACGTTAACCACTAATCAAGTCGCACTGCCTACCACCTGTTATTTCTTTACTGAACAATATTCTGTGATAAGATGTTAACTGTAACGACATGTAGGCCAATTTGTGGTTGATGTCGTCAGTAAAATGGCCTTTATATAGCCATTCTGAGTTCACCTTAAAGATTCCTGAATAAAATTACAGTCTTTCTGTCATAAGTTAACTCAGGTTGCATTAAGTTAATGACAGCACCGTCAGAGTATCTATCTCTTGTAGGGGACTTTTTGGCGAGCTCAGTAACAAGACAAGTGTGTGAATAAAAATCCAGGTTAACGAAATGATAGTGTAACAGTATATTTAAAAAAAATGCGGTAATGAGTTATATAGATTAATCAGTTACTTGGTTATACAGTTAAAGTCCACTGCTGGAGTCGTGTCTATTAGCAGACGCTGTGTACCGCTTGTGGAATAGTCTTCGGATGAGGATAAGAGGTTTCTGCAAAATCCAAAGTATACAAAACGGTTATGAGTGATGCAAGGAGACAGTCTGGACTAATGAGAAGACGAAGCGTCGAACACCACACTGTATTTTAGATTGTACTCCGCATTTGTGTATTTTTCAACATAAATCGTTTCAAACAAAATTCGTGTACATAGGTTTCTAATTTCAACATCTAACAAAAAATGTACAATTGTATTGGTGCAGAATCTACACTGTAGTAGACTACAGACCTTGACCAAGGTCGTCGTAACATTACCATGAGAGATTGTTAGTGATCCGTGCAAAATACAAGTACACTTGCCAGCTAATTATCTAAAGTTTGTGTCTTCAGGAAGTCGATGGAGAGGATGATGCTATGATACTTTAGCATGCATTTATTAGCCTGTATCCTCCAAGTCTACTTATTTGACATAGACTAAAAACTAGTTAGTAAGTGAATTCGGAACAATACATGGATCTTTCGAAATAGAACATACGGCCTCAAAGCTTCAGCTGTGACATTTCAGTAGCAGTGAAGGGTTAAAGCGATAGGGTTGCTAGACCCACACCGAAACTTCCCCCTCTGTTGGGGTTATAACCGGCTAAGGCAAGGTGTGTGTTGGCCTGGAATCGAAATCCGGACAACATACATAAGTGGCGAGCATTCTACCGCCGAACCACCAACGCTCCCGGACGTATGAAGTCGATAAATGTTGAGATAGCAGAAATCTGTGCTCCATTCATTACCAAGCCACCAATCATTCACATAGACAAGCTGAATCCAGTCTACAAAACTAATACTGAAATTCTCAATTTGCGCAATAGTTAGCTATTTTCTATGCACACAGTTTGAGAGGTGAAGTTTTCATCACTGGATACTGTGGAGATCAAATCATTCAGATCACAGTATATGATCTGAATGATGCCACAAATAGCAGTCAGCTAAATCTGTAGATACACATAGAAGTGGCACAGCTAAGCAGCTTGTCTTTCGCTTGAGCAATCATAATTGGTCGGCTAGAAAATGACAAACAAAGGCTGATGATGGCAGTGTAAGTCCGATTTATTGCTCACAATAATCTTAGATGTAAGACTTCAATAGCCATTTCCTGACTAAACTGCAAAATGGTTAGAAAAACAGATGAATTGTGACAAGCCAATAGATGCAGGTGTCAGACAACCAACTTCGCCTATAGCTAAACATCTGATCGAGATGAACCACAAGACTGATGTCAACTCAGCCTTTAAGGTCATCTATAAAAACGGTCAAGGGCGTTTATTGAAATACGCTGAGGCTATAGCTATTCATAAACTTACCCCCCCCCCCACCTGTGCATTCAAAAACAGTTTGTTATTACTCTTAGCCTACCTTGTTAATCGTTATTTGATTGCATTACCAAACGTTTGTGTTAATTATTCTTAATTCCTTTTTCTGTCACTTTGTTTAATTTAACTTTACCATATATATATATATATATATATATATGTATATATTGACTTGACAAGTAAATATGTGATCAGATCGTTCGAAATGTATAGCGCTAATACATCACATTTTTCAGATAATCTCCGTCTTCTAATAATGCTATCAAAATTTACAAAAAGGACTTATTGTCTTAAATTTTAAGAACAGTTGTTTCTTTTTAATTGTTGTCAACTTCTCTTTATGATACCTGGTGTTAATATATCTCCCTACAAATCTACTAGGATAACCTATTTGAAACAGCGTATTTTGGATGCATCCAAACTCATTTTCTAGAGAGTCATCTGTACAGATCCATCTTGCTCCACTTTCCCCTTCTCAGCTTCAGAAATGCAAAAGAGATGAAAAGGCATAGTAATTGGTAGTTTGTGCTTCAGTTGGCAGATCGTAGTGAAGGTGGATACTACTGAGAGTGAATGTCCACTGTTGGGAAAGTGTTCTCTTATAGTAATCCATAAATCGATACTGCTTCACTTCTGTAACTCTCACGCAATATCACGTTTTTTTTCTAACTTTTATGTCGATTTTGTATACAACTCATTAACTAGATTGCTGATCTCATTATTCATAACTTTAGTAACAGCTTCATATATATTGATTAGTCTTAATAACTATGACAGATGCGGCGGCCTGCTTGAACATAGGGCTACCAAAAATTCCACCTTACAACATTTTGCAAAATTGCTTTGGTTTGCTCTTTTAATTTTGTTTTAATTTATCAATAATGTGTCCTAATCGTATTATATATAATCGCGCATTTTTAAAATCATTACAACCTACCGCGTTGTGTCATCCACAAAAATTGAGAAAAAAGCATCACTGTGGCTGGCAGCGTGCACTGAAACGTACACAAATTAATCAAATGACTGTTCCTGAACTCGTTAGCACTAATTGTAGATCCCTGTCCAACAAAATGGATTACCTTCAATCCCTAATGTATTCCAATGTTTATCGAAATGCTGGCGTTTTAGCAATACAAGAGACTTGGCTGCACCAGCATTATGATGATAATCTAGTTTCAATAAATGGATATAAAGTTTTTCGCCAAGATAGAAATAGTTCCAAGAAAAAATATGGAGGAGGGGTAGCCACATATATAAACACAAATTGGTCTACATCAAATCACGTTTGCTTCAATTATTCTAATGACAATATAGATTGCATAACCGTCAGGTGTCGCCCAAAACACTTAAGTAAATATTCTTATATATACATAACAAATATTTACATAACACCCGATTGTAGCCTTTCTAATATAGTTATGTTTGCAGATGAGTTTACTGAATTCGCTGCTCCTGCATTCGGAAACTCGTTGTCTATAGTCTGTGGTGATTTTAATTTATGTGATCACAGCTTTCTTACTTCGCTTGGTCATGAGAATCTAGTCAAGTTTAATACACGTCTGGACAAATCACTAGACCTGGTTTTCATAAATGACCGTGATGTATATGAAACCCGAAGGAGAGCTCCTTTGCTAAATTCTGACCACTGCATTATTCGTATTTTACCGAAAGTGTACGGCAAGTCACAACGAAAATTGTTTAGTCATTTAACAAAGAAGATACATGAACGTTCATATTCCCATGACAACATTCTAGCATTAAGAAGCATGTTGCATGATACCAACTGGGAACTGTTTACTGACGATAAGTTGGATGCTACTGTCTCTAATATAACCGATTATCTGAAGTTTTGTTTGGATATTTGCTGTCCTTATGAAACACTGTTTTCGAGATTTGACAGAATCTCTTCTGTGCAACTGAAAAAACTTAGAAGACAAAAAGAGAAGTTGTATAAGAATTGTGATAATACTGGTGTCCGTAAAATAAACACCCTTATAAAAATTGAAATAGAAAGGTTGAACAGACTATATAATGAAAAATTTTTATCATGTAAAAATCCTTCAAACATTTGGAAACTTTTCAATAAACTAACAAGTAAAAAACAAATGTCCGTTGATGCTTATTCTGATGTTAATGCTTTAAACAAATCATTTATCAAGAAACAAATTAATATGGTTGTACCTGATGTACCTAGTCAAGAAAATGGTCATTTTCAGGGTTTTGAAGAAAAGGATGTACTATTATGTTTGAAGTCATTAAATCCAACACACAGCCTTGGTCCAGATGGTGTACCAAGCATTCTTCTCCAAAAGTGTGCAGACATCTTGTGTCATCCTCTTACTCAAATCTTTAACGCATCATTTAAGAGGGAAACGGTACCTGCTGACTGGAAAGAAATCAAGGTTGTACCTGTACAGAAATCATCTTCTGGAGCAGGTATAAAATTTAGACCAGTCGCTATAACATCTCCTTTTTTGAAAACTATGGAGAAACTTCTTTTGAATATTCTTAAACCTTCTTTAAAAGCTTTTAATGACCCTAAGCAGTTTGCTTATAAGTGTGGAAGAAGTACATTAGATGCAGCCATTGTACTACACCACAATATTGTTTCCTGCCTTGATAAGGGCGCTAAGTTCGTTCGAACAGCTTTCTTAGACTATACTGCAGCTTTCGACTCTGTTCCTAGGACACTTTTATTAGGAAAGATGATTTCAGCACAAACAGAGTCCTGGGCAACTAGATGGCTGTCTTCTTATTTTAAGGATAGGAAACAGCATACTGTTTTGGCTGGAAAGCGCTCCACTTCCCAGCTAACTGAAAGTGGTGTGCCTCAAGGTGCAGTACTTTCTCCATTTCTTTTCTCTTTCTTTCTGCATGACCTTCCGAACTCACCCAAAGTTAACTTCATTAAGTATGCTGATGACCTGACCGTTTCTGTCCCTGTAGTTTCCACATCGGATTGTTCCTATATGAATGGCTTCCTAGCTGAAGTTAAGGATTGGTCTGGCTCAAATGGTCTTAAACTAAATCCAACTAAATGTAACACTGTTGATTTCAGCTTGAGAAGTGAAAAAGACATGCATGGATTGATTCAATCTCATGATTGTTGTAATATTGATGGTACCATGATAGAGAGTAAGTCAAGTGTTTCTTATCTTGGCATTAGTTTCTCGTCAAATCTTTGCTGGTCGTCTCATATTCTTATAGTTTCTAAGAAAGTTTTCCGTCTGACTTATTACATAAAGAAGTTGAGACACTCAGGTATAACTCAATCTCTTATCATACAATTTATTAATTCATGTGTTTTGCCCATCATTCTTTATTGTTCTCCATTATTCTTCCCTGGGCTACTCAAGAAAGATCATATAATACTACGAAGAACATTGAGGGCTGTAAGTAGGGTCAGTGCTATCCCTTTGACTGAACTAAATGACACTGTTGTCAATAGGCATATGAATTCTTGTAAACACTTAGCTAAAGTTATCTTATCTGATAGTGAACATCCTCTTTATTCACAATTGTTTCCTTGTATCTCTTCGGGTAAGACCAGAAGAAATTTTATAAACATTTATGCTCGTACTACAAAATATAAAAATTCGACCGTTCCATATTTGGCACGAGTATTGTGTGAAGAGACAAATATCAGAAAAGAACTTTTACAACTTTTGAATCAGTAACTAAACTATAAAATGTAATGATGCATATTAATGCAAGTGTTATTTGTTATATTATTTATTTATTATTCACTATGACCTAGAAATGGTATGATTTTGTTGGGTTTTTTATTTATATTTATTTTTATTATTTTTTCCTATTAACTATCAATATTTTAACATTTTATATATTTATATAATTATAAACAGAGCTAAACCATTGCAATATGTAAAAGAAACGCTGAAAATTCCATGCTGTAAATTGTTATTGTTGTGGAATAAAGTGATTATTATTATTATTATTATTATTATTATGATTACTAGGATTCATCACACTAGTTAATATGCACTTTTGTGTAAAGGTGAAAGCAGAATATGTGTGGACGTGGTCGTACAAATAAAGAAAATGAGTCCCAGGATTTCATCATGAACTGACATTGGCTATATGACCACTGGAAAACCAGCATGGAGTACTGGACAGTTGTTTCGATCTAGTTTGGGAGCCTTTATCGGTACTCGCCCCCCTCAGGTTCAAACCCAGAAGTTTCTGGTTACAAAGCGAGCTAGCTCGTAGACCATTTAGCCACTGGGACATGTTCGCCGGGAAGAATCTTTTCGCGGAATTACTTGTCTCATTTTTTTTGATAAATAATCAATTTTCTCACATGTTACTTCAATAATCAATAGTTACATGCTTAGACATCATCGAAGCATCTGCACAAGAAGCCGATATGTCAACCTGAGACCGAGCACTTCAGTCCAATAAATTGACGGGAAAATCTAAAATTCAATTCAATAATTAATATGAACCATTGCACAAGAGGTGGCTCTTGTGGCACAAATGGTCTAGTGGATAACGCCTTGGTGTTTGAAATCATAGGCGCTGGGTTCGAGTCTCTGGGGAACACTCACTGCGGAATGCAGGCACATCCAAAAGACGAGTCCCAAATAGGAAGAAATGTGCATTCTAGATGGATTCCACTGCTAGTCACCATCCACCAACTAACTTTTAATCACTTTTATAGTTCGACTAATTTTAATTTTGCACAAAACTGTATACTACTGAATCACTCAGATGAGTAGTTGTATACCACATACTGTGATCTGAAAGATACCACAAATAGTAATCAATAGAGTAAGCAAAATTTGCAAAAAATGTTATACACAACTGATTAATTGATTGAGATGCAAATATGCTATTATGCTTGCTTTATTCTTGACCACCATTTATTGTGTCAAGCAGATTACCTACTATAAGATCTGAATAATTGGATCCCCACAACATCCTGTGGTGAAAACTTCACCCGTCGAAATAGACACTTTACAGATTGTGAATTTCATTTGCAGGGTATATAACCAGTTCTTCGAAACACGTCAAGTGAGAAATCAGGTGGTGAAATGGCCTTCTGGTGGTCAGATCACCTCCATCTGGGTTGTAAGCAGTAGCGCTGTTGAAAACTGACCAACCAACACTTGAAAATTGAATAGTTTGTCTATTCGAACTGGTCTCCATATTGGCGGGAGACAAGATGTCTGTCATTGCCTAATCGTTTAGTGGTTGGTAGAAGATTAAAGAGATACGTTTATCTACAGACTTTGGCACTGATTAAGCATTTTAAATATATTTCGTTATCGATTGAAAAATAAACAATCGTGTTACCTAAGCGCATTCTGTTCTTCTGCGTCGGTTACAGTGCATAGTATTCTGCGTATTAGGCTTAGTGTTCTGAAACCAGCGATAAGTCCAGGATCGCTATGATCCGGATACTTGACAAAACTCCGCATACTTTGATTGGACACTAGTATGATGTGTCTAGTCCTCTCTACGGCACAGAATGAATTCTGTCACTGAGGTTTGCAGTCTGGCCACCATTCCAGGTAGCTCTCCATCACAATGCACATTGATTTGGTGATATTAAATGGTTGGAGGTGATCGGCCACAGGAAGCCTCATCTGACCTAGGTTTCGTGTCAGTCGGCGCTCACCAGTCAGGAAGACGTATCTGCAACTGCTTTGAAGGAACTCATGTCCCTTCTGATATTCGAACCCGCGTCATCCAGTGCTGCCTGCAGTCAGAGACGGTACCACTGAGTTAATCTAATGTCATCGAATTAGTGTGCACCGTGATGGTTAACCATCCGGCTCGGCGGCCATACTGAAAACTTGACTGATGGAATTCAGTCTCCACCAAAGATAGTGCTAGACACAATTCGCTAGTTACTGACTAGTGCCCAATTAAAGTATACAATACAGTCCTACAGGAGGTCAGTTGCGAGCCCAAATAGCTCCTCAGACGTAACGTCTCTGACTGAAGGTTACACTGGGTGACGCGGGTTCGAATCTCAGAAGGGACATGAATTCCTTCAGGCCAGTTGCAGATACACCGAGCTGACTGGTAAGTGTCAACTAGCACGAAACCTAGGTCAGGTGAAACTTCTTGTGGCCGACTGCCCTCAACTATCTAACAACTACTCATCCCAACAAGTGAGGAAATAGATTATTCATGAGAAAATAAGATGGGTAATCCAGCGAAGAGGCTTTTTCCCCAGAACTCACTTTCTTTATATGTACGACCACATCCATATACAACGCGTTCATCTTAACACAAAAGTTGATAATAACAAATGTGAAGAATCCAAGTAATCATAGTTATTACAACTAATCAATACATATGAAGTTGTGACTAAGGGTGTTAGAGTTATGAGTAACGAGATCTACAACCTAGTGAATGATTTGTAATCAGGATCCATATAAAACTGAGAGAAATAACAGTGATATTGCATGAGAGTTACAGAAGTGTAGTAGTGTTTGTTTAAGGAGTACGATAAGAGAAGACATTTTCAACAGTGCACACTCTTTCTCAGCAATCCCCTCCTTCAATTTGATCT